TCTTCAAAATTCGCCAGTAATATCATATTCCCACAAGTAGATTAGGTTATAAATGTAAAGGTAGATGGAATGAAATCTTTAAATGCAATAACATGCGAGAACTTTACTTCTCGTTCACATACATGATAAAGAGAAACATATTTTCGTGGTTTTCAGAACTATATTGGATAGAGCATAAAATGTCACATCTAACCATGTGATGGGTTTTCCCAGACCACCTCAGAAATATCATTGATATGACTCACAGGTATGAAATGTTCAGATGGTGAACGGTCTTCCAGGAGAGTGATGACAGATTGTTATCCTTCAGGTTCCTGCATATGACAGTTACAATCATCATTGCAACTACAAAATGACATGGTAGGACGACATTTTGAAATCATTCATCATGATTTCATCCCTGGATTTTAGTCCTGGGGTTTACTTCCTGGAGCTTGTTATGCCAGGTTTTTGCCCAGATACTCAAAAGTAGAACCATGTAATTATTAAACACGGTGATGAAAACATATCGCACTTACAGGTATTGCAGTTTGACGTTGTTCTGAAATGCCTGCCGCGACACGTACGTAAGCCTCGTGTTGGTCACTGTCCTGTTGGGGAAACCAATGATAAAGACAAGGTCTATATGTATAGACCTGAAGAATTGTAATCTCATCCCTTCTGAACTACTTACAGATTTCTGAGGTTGCGGTAGAAGGTCAGGTCTTTATCGTTGATGGAGGAGAAGCTGCTCTGGTTAGCAATATATCTGTCAATTAGACCAGAAAACAGATCTTACAAAGAAAAAACAAATGTGCAAGGACAATTGAACAAAATACTACAATGCCATTGCCATCTGTAGACCTCAGTTATTTACACACGATGCAATGTTCCAGCTTCTTGAGGAATTCAAGCCTGATAGCATTAATGCTGCTCTAAAGGCTAAAGGGGCACAACTAGAACAACTTTTTTTTACAATACAAATATTAGATATCTGTATTGTTAAAAATAATCCTGTAAACATATGGAAAAAACAGCCAAGAATAACCAAAGGCAGTATGAAAAACCATAACCCTAGGCCTATACTGTAAATGGTTTAACATAATCAAATATCTATTAACATGCTAAGTAGCTGGACTTAGCATGTTAATAGATGCAAAACATGTAAGTAACTTAATTTTTTATTATTTAAATTCTTTCATTTTTATTTTTAAATCTGGATAAACATCTTCAGTCGTCCAGTTTTGTTGAGCCTGGATTCATGTTCGTCACTGACAGGAGTGTAACCTGATGTGGTCTTCTGCTGTTGTAGTGCATCTGCCTCAAAGTGTGACATGTTCTGCGTTCTGAGATACTTTTCTGCTCACCATGGTTGTAAAGAGTGATTATTTGAGTTATCATAGCCCCCCTGTCAGCTTAAACCAGTCTGGCCATTCTCCTCTGACCTCTGTCATCAGAGATACTGACAAATCAGCAAGGCATGTCTTCCCACAGAACTGCGTGAACTCTAGAGACTGTTGTGTGTGAAAATCCCAGGAGATCAGCAGTTTCTGAAAAACTCAAACCAGCCTATCTGGCACCAACAACCATGTCACAGTCACTGAGATCACATTTTTCCCATTCTGATATTTGATGTGAACATTAAATGCAGCTCTTGAGCTGTACATGTGTGTACATGAGGTGTACATGCATTAAGTGTCTATTAATATGGACTTTTTTATTTTATATTTTTGTATTTCACTCCATCTTTTATTTTATCCTTGTGCATTCCATTATTTTTTTAAAATTACATTAGTTTTATAATTGCATACATTTTATCATTTAAGTTTCATGACTTGATTGTACAGCACACTGACCTACCATGTGTATGAAAAATGTTTTATAAATAAAGCATTATTATTATTATTATTATTATTATTATTATTATTATTATTTAAATGTAAGAATTTTCCTTGTAATTGCATTTACAGAAGTATATAAGCTAATGTTATTTATACTGTCATTAGATTTTACCTTGAAACTTTGCCCATATGTTTACAGGATTTTTACAGTGTGTTAAATATCCTCCTGCATTATGTTCCTTGATCATGTGAAAGCCTCGCTTTAATAAACACCCCTCGTATAAATACTAATCAGAAGGATGCTTGATTAGGATGCTCACTGCACAACACTAGTAAACATTTAGTGATTGGTTTGCTCATTGCTAGGGCAAGTGTACGATCACTGACGTGATATGTTGTGCATCAACTAAACCTCAGGCTTTTTGTGTGGTTTCCTTTGATACCCGGTCAACAAGGTCAACATGCCTTTGCTGTGGTTTCCTTTTATGTGATTGCTAAATTTACCACCTGATTCTGTTTTACTGGTTGAACTGTTAATCAAATAAGCAGGGAATTTTCTAAAAAAACTACTCAGTGCATCCTCCTTAAATTCACTGTCTTCAGTCCAAGAACCAGCAGCGACATTAAGGCAATCCAAACCGTTTCTATTTGCATTCTTTAGAAAGAACGGGAGCCAGACTGCATAGAATTGGAGCACAGAGCATGTAATACATGTTAAATAAAGGATTCGAATCGTCAATCTATCACCTTTTA